TCCTGGTGCGCCGGATCCCGACCTAGGACCCCCGCCCAGTAAGGACCCAGCGGTGGAAACCCGCGGTGACACCTCCGGCGGACCTGAGCAGGGGGACCTCGGCCAGCGCCACCTGCAGCTTGGCCTCCTTGGTGCGGGCGTTGCGGCGGAAGATGTGCAGGACGAGGGTGAAGCGGTCAAACACCTCCACGCCCCAGGCCGCCTCCAGCTCTCTCTGGGAAGGGGGAGCAGGGTCGGCAAGGGAGCCGGGCAGCAGACGCAGAGGACGGCTCGGGACCAGGACCCTCGGGGCCGCTCCGTTCCCTCGGCGGCAGACACGGCAGTACCTTGGTGGGGACGGCCATCCGCTCCACGTTCAGGAACACGGATGTGACTTCTGGAGACGCCCGGATCCTCTCTAGGGGGACACAGGGCCCGGTCAGGGCGCAGGCTCCCAAGGGAAGAAGGGGGGACGCGTCCCAGGGCCACGGTGAGGACCGCTGGGCTCCCTGAGCTCCTGTACCGGGAGGGGGCGGGTGCGGTCGGCCTCGGAGACACGGGTCGAACCCACACCTGCGCGTGTAGTCCAGCTCGGGCTGACCACAGGCGACGTCAGTGGGTCCCGAGGGGACTGACGGCATCAGCGTGCTCCCCACGGAGGGGCTCGAGAGTGTGTGCGGGTGGGAGCAGGGCCGGACGGGGGACATCACGTGCCCAACCCCGAGGGTCACACTGTCTCCTGCCTAGCTCCTCCCTTCCTTCTATCCTCCCTGGCCAACACGATGTGACCACCTTGCCCCCCCAACACCCATCCACCATGATGGTCCTGCCTTGGGGCAGCCGACCACGGACTGAGCCCCCCGAGACCACTGGGGCAGCTGACCACGGACTGAACCCTGAGACCCCTGGGGCAGCCGACCACGGACTGAATCCCCCAAGACTACTGGGGCAGCCGATCGTGGACTGAGCCCCCCGAGACCATAGGGGCAGCCGATCACGGACTGAGCCCCCCGAGACCCCTGGGGCAGCCGACCACGGACTGAGCCCCCCAAGACCACTGGGGCAGCTGACCATGGACTGAACCCCCCGAGACCCCTGGGGCAGCCGACCGCGGACTGAACCCCGAGACCACTGGGGCAGACTCTGAAACCATGAGTGCTGGAACTGTTAAGACCACAAAACTGTGGGAGAGAGGGTGAATGTGTTTTGTATTATGGGATGGGCACATGCACTAGGGGCCAAGGAGGAATTTTATGTTTGGGATCTGGTGTTGAAAACCAGGGCAGGATGGTAAGAAGCGAGGTCTTTGGGGGTTCAGCCTAGCGGGAGGAAGTGAGGTCATCGTGGTGGGCTTTGGAGAGAAAGTGAGGTCACAGGGTAAGGCTCAGGAGGAAGTGAGGTCATCGCGGTGTGTGGCTATGTGGTCTATCAGGACCCCGGGCACTTGCTGTGTCTCTTTCCTTCCTGGCTCCTGTGATGTGAACGGTTCTGCTCCACAATTCCCATCTGCCATGATGTTTCTGCTTTCGAACAGGCCTAAAATCAGTGGAACCAGCCAACCATGGACTAAAACCTCTGAGACCCTGAGACAATGTATAACTTCCCTTCTTTTATGTGGGACAGGAGATCCCCGTGTAGTTCCTGCTGAGCTTAAGCTCACTATGTAGCCCAGGCCGGCCTCAAAGTGACAGGGATCGTCCTGCCTCAGCCTCCTGAGTCTGTGCCACCACATCGGCTCTTTGCTTCTTTAAATAAAAAACAAAACCCCAGAAGGGAAGGGGAGGGCAAGGGGCAGCTGTAAACAGCCTCACCTGACAGGTGCTCCAGGTTCCCTCTTCCGAAGATGAGCTTCTTGTCAGGCGTCTTGGTGGGCACCACCATGGTCCGCACCACTGACCAGCCGTCCAGTGTGTGGACCAGGGCGGTTGCCTCCGCCACCTGCCACTGGGCTGTGGGGAAGGGTGAGGCTGAGTCGGGAGGCTGCACCGGGCACAGCGCCTGGAGCCTGCGTTTACCCAAAGCTGCCCGGCTGCTTCCCGCAGGCTCCCGGGGGGCCCAGGATCAGGAGCAGCACGGGAGTGGGAGGTGGGGCCAGGCGGGGACATCACCGTGGCCCTGCCTCCCGCGGGGTCTGGGTGAGGTGGTTGGAAACTGGTGTGCATTTAGTGGGGAGGAGGCAGAAGCAGGAGAGTCTCCCGGGAGCCTGTGGAGGGAGCTGGGGACAATGGCAGCGGACCGCATGGCGGCCCCCAAAGACGAGTCCTCGTCCTGAGTCCAGGACCTGGGCGGGCGGGGGTGGCCCGTCCGTGGCTCTGACTCCACACGGGGCGGAGGTGACACCTGTCCCCCCACAGCTCCAGCACAGGCCCAGAGGAGGAAACGGAGGCAGGAGGGCCGACAGAGTGACACGCATTGGGCCCGTGGGGGCATCTGTCTCATGCTTGGGGCCCCGGGGTCCCCCCTGGTTCCCCCCTCTTGCACTCTGGTCTCAGCCATCAGCAAACCTTGCCACGCTGGTTCCACCCCAGCAGGGGTCCCAGATCCCACCCCCTCCAGGTTCACACAGCCACCTGCTGGGCAGCGAGGGGCTGCTGGTCACAGGACCACCACTACGAAAGCAGAGGCTGTTTCATGACACTCACTGCAGCCAAGAGGCAGGAACCAGGAAGGGGCGATGAAGATACGACGGAGACACGGCGGAATATTATGCAGCCACGAAAAGGGACGGGGCTCTAACACGTGCCACAACACAGGCGGACACCGAGGCCAGGGGGCTCCGCGTGAGACGGTGGAAAAGGACACAGAGTGCGGGGCCACTGCTGTGAAACGTGCTGGACAGGTGAATCCAGAGACAGGAAGTGGTTTACGGCTATCAGGGGCTGGGGCTGGGGCTGGGGCTGGGGAAGGCAGCCAGGCCCCTGTCGGGCTGGGAATGTTCTGAGGGTCGACAGGGGCGCCGCGGGAGCAGATGGAGCAGACGTTCGCCCCTGACTCGGCCCGTCCTCCACGGAGACAACCGGCCAGGCCGGGAGACCCTGTGGGTCGCCGTGTTCCGCGCACTTCCCGCCGCCTGCCTTCCCCAGAACCTAACCCTAACCCCAGCAGCTCCCGCCTCAGGGCGGCCGGCGGCACCGCACCTTCCGGGATCCAAGTCCCTTTAGTGCTCAGACGGCGCCGAAGCCCCGCCCATTATGCTTCCTGACGGCCCCGCCCCTCCGCGCCCTGCTTCCGAGGACTCCTCCCGAGCGCTCCCCTCGACCTACCACAGCTCAGGATCCCGCGTGGGCCCCGCCCCCAGCACCTGTACCCAATGAGCTCTCTCCCCGCCCTCTGGAGCTTCATATCTTTCCCTTTCCCCCGCCTCTCCGTGGCCCTTGACCAATGGAATAGCCGCCTACTGAGTCTAAGCCCCTTCTTCACCGAACTCACCCCTCCCGACTCTCTGTCTCCACCCATTGAGGTCTTTTCTCATCGTCCCGCCCCTCCCAGTCTCCAGCCAATAGAGTAGTAGACCATTCGGGGTATGCTGCCCCGCCCACACGTGGCCACGCCCCCACCTGCCCTGACTAATGGAATATCTGCTCTTTGGGAACCTCCTCTGAGCCCCGCTCTCATTGGCCCGTTCCTCCTTAGTACTTTTGCTCTGCCCTCTTCCACTTACCCGACCAATACCGCGCTGGCTGAGTCCCCGCCCCTCATTGGGCACCGCCCCTCCGCGTACCTCCTGAGCCCCACCCTCATTGGCCCGCTCTCCCGAACGTCCGCCCAAAGGCTCTCCGCCCACTGGCTTCTCTTCCGAGTCACGGCCCGCGAGTACCCGCCCCTTCCGGCGGCAGGCCCGCTCACCTGTGGTGAGCTGCGGCTTCCCGGGCCCCCAC